AGGCAGTATCCCAGACAATGCGAATGACCTGTCTTGTTGTCGGCGACTAACTGGAATTGCTTACTTCCCCTAGTCTAGCTTGATCAGTCAGAAATTGTGTAAGCGTATGAGACAGGGAAACATCAGAATGATGATTCTGTGATTTAGATTTGAGACAATTCGTCCAGTAATTGATGATTAATTTGTTTATGATATAGAAATGATTTTGTATCGATTATAGTTTTCAATTTTCGCTGTTTTCGCTTTTTTTTTTTTGTAGCTGTGGTGTTTTTATTTTTATATTTATTAAGTAACAAACTAACTCAATTAATTATTGTTGATTATCTACTTAAGAATATATTTAGTCTATGCGTCTTAAACATACACACACACACTCGCACATCTGTTTTAAAAAAATTAGCTCACACAAAGTCGCACACATCACACTTTCGCATCTGTTTTAAATAGTTCGCTCACACAAACACACACACACACACACACACATACACACTCGCACATCTCTTATTTATCTAGAATGAGGCTTGAATTGACCTGTAACAACACACCCTTACCATAAAAATAATCTTTGCACTAACGTTCAGAATTTAGTATCAATATGTATTCAACATGAATGTGAATGAAACTAAACCACTATAAAATGGCACTAACCCCCCACTTACCTATATAGAGAGCGAAGTGGCTGTAACACCCACGGTCGAATTTGACGATGTCCCCAGGTTTTAAACTTCTAAAGACTACCTTGTTGTGCTCCTCTACGCTGACATTAGATCCCATTGTTAAGGTTTGAATTATCGTAAAGAAAAAAAACTGACAAAAGCAGACAAATGTGTATAACTTTTTACTGTGTAATAAAGAGATGCTCCTGTGGCAAGAAATTCACCTTTTTTTATGACGAGAAACTATCTCTATTCGTTTACAGTTCTCTATGCTCATTGCTCGCTTGTGAAGTGACGTAAAACTGAGAAGTGAAGTCTAGTGGCCTTTTATAATTTCCGTGATGTAGGTTGAATTTTGGGAAAACCCAGGCTATTTTTAAACCGGCGGATTAAAGATGCCGGCGGAGTAAGGTATTGCGTGGAAATTATTTAAAAACACGCAATCGGGAATATCCGAAGTTGGAAATAACCAACGTAAACACATATTATGTATGTGTGTGTGCGGTTTGTTGCTTAACTAGTCCGTGGTTAACATAGAATGGTTTTACTTGTGACGAAGGCGTTTATGAATATTTGTGTACGTCAAAATGTGTACATATAAATGTGTGTATGTTAGTGTGTGTATATGAAATGTGTGTACTTTTGTTTTTCGAGAATATGTGTGTACGTGAATCTTTTTCTTACGTTAATACGTGATTATGGTATTGTGTCATTGTGAATAAGTACGCACGTAAACAGGTGTACTTGAAAATATTTGTCCGGGAAAATGTATGTTCGTGAATACATAAAGGGTGTGTGGATGTTAGAATGTGTGAGTGAATGTATGTGAAAGAAAACTCCAAAATCAAACAACTGTTGCGTAGTAATTTGTGCGTAGTTGATTGTTGTAAAACAGAGTTCGGTTAGGTGTAAATATGTACACCACAAATGTTAAGGTTTGCTGAATAGACTTAAAAAGCTGTTTCCAAAGCATTCCAAATTTTTGTCGCAAAAATTGAATATTTTTAAAACATTTGTGTAATAAGTACAAAATTACTTCCAGTTTCATTAAGTCTAGAAATAGTCAAAGAAATAATTACTTGTAATATAATAATAATCTAGCAAGCACTTTTATTTTTAAGTTGGATTAGTAGAGTCAGGGTGTTCTGGTGATTGGGGATGTTATTGTGTATTTTTATCATGGAAAACAATTCTTCTGACTTTTATTGTTTTACTCTCCCTGGCCATTCCGGTTGACTTCAAGGAGAGGTCGAGGGCGGATATTTAAAATATTTGAATTGATAAAAAAATTCTAGACGGCTTTTCAACTGCTTATATTCGATACAAAAATATAAAAATTAGTGTAATCGATGGTTTCCAAACGGCTTTAACTTTTACAAATATAACTATAATTTTATTGGTTGACATAATTTTAAAAATATTTTTTCAAAAATTTAGTATGATCACATAGACATTTCAAATCTATATTTTGGAGAGCTCAGTACAGATTATAATTAGTTTCAGTGATTGTTTTAGAAATGGTAGCAAAGTTTGTTTTCTTCTCATCTGTATTCTGGTGACGTCATTGACTGGATGTGCTTTAGATCCATTTTTAATTGTGTTTATACTGACTATTTTCTACAGCTAAAACTTGACAATTGAATCAATTAAGCACTAAATACACCGTTTTTTAAAGAGTATGCCGTAAAAAGCGAAACTTTTTATAAACGAATATTGTAATAGAAGTGTTAATCAAAGTTGCGGTAACAGTTGTGTTTGAATGAACAATGTTCAGGTGATCGTCTTGTGGTAGTATTCGAATTGATTTGACTTTAGACCAATGTTCAAATGATAATCGCAGGAACTGTACGGACTCATGGGCGGAACTACAGTGCCGCTCGACCCCCACAGTGCGGGTTGTGAGGGGGGGGGGACCCAGGCAGTTTAGAGGGCACACAGCCGACCCTTATTAATATTTTTTAAAAATTTGAATTTAATGTTCGTTCATTTTTACTTTCTCGTATATACGAATTATAGAGAAAGTCTTGTAATCGTGCAAAACATAAAATCGAGATTTTTACAAATCTCGACGTTTTACACCTCACTGATACGGAAAAACATAATTTTGCATTCTTGTCCGTATGTCTGTGTGTGTGTGTGTGTGTGTGTGTGTGTGTGTGTGTATGTGTGTGTGTGTGTGTGTGTGTGTGTGTGTGTGTGTGTGTGTGTGTGTGTGTGTGTGTGTGTGTGTGTGTGTGTGTGTGTGTGTAAATACGATAACTTGAGTACCGTTACAGCTAGGTTGATGAAATTTCATATATAAGTATTTTATCAAAATCGTAGATCCGTAACGACTTTGAGCGATTTCCGATAACTGGAAGTGGTACTTTTTCTACTTTGAATTTTTTTCAAAAGGCTATAACTTGAGTGCTATTTTAGATAGATAAATGAAATATCACATGTAAGTAAAATATCTAATTTTCTACCTTCTGTCAAATTTTGTCAAATTTCCGTTGACCAGAAGTAGTAATTTTCACTCTTTCCGATTTCTCAAAAAACGTATGTGAATTTATAAAGTACTAATAATATTCCGCACTATTATACACATCTTTATTCGGCGTTCGCTTTGTGCGCAATTCTTTTTGCAAAAATCTCTGTTTTTTTGGGGTTTTTTTGCACGATTTAAAAACTTTCTCTATACTTCGCATATTCGAGGAAAAAAAAAGTCCGTAGCTCTAATTTCTTTCGTTACATCCAATTAAAGTTTTTCTTTTCTTAAAGGGATATGCTCAGTTAATTTCTATTTTTTACAATTTATGATGTAAAGTGTTTTGAATACTTTTTCCATATTTAGCACATGAAAGAAAGCAAAAAAATGTTTGAAAACAATTCTGGATGTTATGGAAACACAAAAAAACCTCCGCCATTTTGAATTTCGGTACTTTTAACAAATCTCAGACTTTTTTATTTATTCATTTATAGCAATCAAATTTAAAATGCTTATATTTCAGTACATATTAAAAATTTGTCACGACAACATTTTTTAAATAGCTACTGGTCCGAATTCTACAAGGTCTGAAAATCCATAACCCTTGTAGTATGCAAAATTTCAAAACTTGCATATTATTAACCATAAACTTTTTCCCATGACAACTCCCTCGAGACAAAAGTTTTATTTTTAAATGAAGGACAATTTCGGAAATTATGGTTGGCATTGTTTTATAAATAAACAAATTTCGTAGGCTTTTTCGTGTTAAAAACTACAAACTGAGATAAACAGCGAAAAGTAAAGAAAAGTAGGTCACGAAAATACCATATATGTGTATGTAATTTGTAAAACTGATTGTAAGCTTTGGGTGTTTTCGAGATGATGGAAAATACGATCCTCAAATACACGAGAAATCCAGCTTTCCAATAATGCCAAATACATTAGGATGACTTATATAGAAAACTTTTCGTAGAAAGCTTTTAAGACTGGACAAAAATGATTATTTTATAATTAATAGGGTTACAAAATGTTTTTTAAACACATACAATTTTAATTCTCAATAAGTTAATATTTTCTTAATACAAAAATTGACAAAGTATATTAAAGTGCACGAAACCTAGTAAGACGAAAAACCTGGAATTTTGTGATTTTGTAATGCACATATCCCCTTAAATTTTAATTTAAACCAATCTCAGAATCCGTGTCGTCTTGTAGATTCGGTTCATTCACTTTCATCTTCTACTGAAGATATAGGAAACAAAAACGGAGAGGGGGGGAGAGGGGGGAAGAAGGAGAGAGGGGAGCGTCCGAAACAAAATAAGAGTGACTGTGTTAAAGTAGAAAAGCATTTGAAATCATAATTAAAATCCTAAATTATCAAATTATAAACATAATGTTATTGCTATAAACATGACATCGTTAGACATCCATTTGGATAACATAACAAAATAGATGATATTATGCTATTCTTTGCTCTTAATTATAATAGTGCAGTGGTTCGAATGTTGTGTGGTCGTATTATTAGTTGGGCGACAGTGTGGATTGTACAGTGTGGGTTGTACAGTGTGGGTTGTACAGTGTGGATTGTACAGTGTGGGTTGTACAGTGTGGATTGTACAGTGTGGGTTGTACAGTGTGGGTTGTACAGTGTGGGTTGTACAGTGTGGGTTGTACAGTGTGGATTGTACAGTGTGGATTGTACAGTGTGGGTTGTACAGTGTGGGTTGTACAGTGTGAAGTGGTGGGATGTGGATTGTTGAGTGTGAGTTTTAATGTGTGGTGTATGTTGTTGAGTGTCCTTTTTTGAGGGGGGGGGGGTGGGGGAGGGGTGTGGTTTGGGGTTTGGTACATGATATCGTGTATGTTAGGGTATTGTTTATTATTTATTCTTTTTTGCTCTCCTGAATGTTTTTCAGTATCTCAATTAGCGATACTGATGACGCATACTACGACAGCTTTGTTTTGCCATCAAGATCTCGTCATCTTCTAGATGAGCTGTTTCTGATAATACTGACAGCGTGTTTTCTGTAAAATTATCTTCTTCGATTTCGATTTCACGAGCCGCCTTTTGTCGGCTAGAACGCTGAAAATAATTAAAATGAAAAATAATTTGAAAAAGTGTCTATATATCTAACTATCTGTTCGTCCGCACGTCCATCAGTCAGTCAGTCAGTCAGTCAGTCAGTCAGTCAGTCAGTCAGTCAGTCAGTCAGTCAGTCAGTCAGTCAGTCAGTCAGTCAGTCAGTCAGTCAGTCAGTCAGTCAGTCAGTCAGTCAGTCAGTCAGTCAGTCAGTCAGTCAGTCAGTCAGTCAGTCAGTCAGTCAGTCAGTCAGTCAGTCAGTCAGTCAGTCAGTCAGTCAGTCAGTCAGTAAGTCAGTCAGTCAGCCAGTCAGCCAGCCAGCCAGCCAGCCAGCCAGGCAGTCAGTTAGCCAGCCAGCCAGCCAGCCAGCCAGTCAGTCTGTCAGTCTGTCTGTCTGTCTGTCTGTCTGTCTGTCTGTCTGTCTGTCTGTCTGTCTGTCTGTCTGTCTGTCTGTCTGTCTGTCTGTCTGTCTGTCTGTCTGTCTGTCTGTCTGTCTGTCTGTCTGTCTGTCTGTCTGTCTGTCTGTCTGTCTGTCTGTCTGTCTGTCTGTCTGTCTGTCTGTCTGTCTGTCTGTCTGTCTGTCTGTCTGTCTGTCTGTCTGTCTGTCTGTCTGTCTGTCTGTCTGTCTGTCTGTCTGTCTGTCTGTCTGTCTGTCTGTCTGTCTGTCTGTCTGTCTGTCTGTCTGTCTGTCTGTCTGTCTGTCTGTCTGTCTGTCTGTCTGTCTGTCTGTCTGTCTGTCTGTCCATCAGTCCGTCCGTCCGTCAAAACATACATATATAAATAAATACATGTGTACATAAATACATAAAATTCATACACTCATAAATATATGCATACATGAATACATTCATCCATCCAGCCGTCGGTCTGTCCGTCCATCCGTAATTATACACATTACACACATTACATGCCTTATATCAGAGGCGTATACAGGTTTTCGAGTTAGGGGGAGCGGCGAGTCGAGAAAAAGGTGCCATATATATATATATATATATATATATATATATATATATATATATATATATATATATATATATATATATATATATATATATATATACACGATATACACGATAATACAGGAAACTCTCATTCAAGCTCACTACATCCTTAAAACAGTAACAGATCCATGTCTATTCAAGTTACATACAAGTGACTAATCAATTCTAAAATCACCCACATACTTGTTATAAACGTGTTAAAACCACTCACTAAGCGATCACACACTAGTCAACACCCAATCTGAAAACAGTTACAAAAAATAAAAAAAAAACCAACCAGAAAGCAATCTCAAACAAGCTACATATTCGTCAAACAAACAAAAACCAGTAACAAACCAGTTACAAACAAGTAAAAACACATTCAAAAAGTTATTATAGTACGGATGCTTTATGTCACTTACCTTCATCCACGCAAACAAAGCAGTTGATATAAATCCAAGACCAACAAATATAGCACCTAAGATAGTAAAACCTGTTTCGACCTAAGAAATAAATAAATATATATCTAAAATATGAGCGGCCAGGTAGTGTGTCTGTAGGTCCATCAGTCTCACAGTCCGTCAGTCATCACTATAGAATCTAGAAACATAAAAGTAAACAACAACACTTGTCGTTAATTTTACTTGCATCGCATTGTCTTATTATAATTAATGGAGTAGGGTCTATTTATGTAAGGACTTACATTTTTTTATTGTCGGCAAAGTTTTTACTCTTTTGCTTACGTCAACAAAAGAACGCACAAAAATTGTTAAATACACGCACACCCACTAAAACATATTAAACGGATCAATGACACATTATATTTTCGCTTATATTCCTAAACAAGTTAATTAAAAAGTTTAGTGACAATTTAAGCGCAATTTCCTTATGTTATCCATAACAATTTTAAATCGTCATCACGTTCAATAGATGCGTCATCACGTTCCATGGCTACGCCATCACGTTCAGTAGGTGCGCAATGGTTTTTAGTCATATAACTATATTGTTATATAGTACTGTAGTGTATTATGTATAATGTAAGTTTAATTTTTTTTTTGTGACCGAACGAAAGGATATTTTTGAAAACTTTCTTCGGCAATATTGTTCTAAATTATGGCAGGAATCGATTGGTAAATGTTTCAAGTCGCTAAGTGGTCTGGTTGCCGAGATATGGGCCAAAAACTGCATTTTTTTCGAGGTTTTTTGGCTTTTCTGGGAAATCCAGGAAGAAATTCCGTAATTTTTTTTGGCCCACTATCATCCTCGTAACTTGTTTAACATAATTGCTTTGGAACTAGTCCTCGATATTGCTTCGTTGAGGAGGAGATACGACTTAAACCTGCGAACACACATCCATCCATCCATCCAGAAATGACGGGTTAATAAACGCAATTCTCCAAAGTGGATATTGCGCTAAAAAATACATTTTAATAAAAGTAGTGTCAAATAAAACTAATTAATTAAATTGTTTATCTATAATATAAGCGGGCTGTGTCTGTCCTTCCTTCCTTCCTTCCGTCCGTCATCGCTATAGATTTTGGGACTATAAAAGTAAACTACGCACCATGCTGTGCTTTTCAGTGCACCGCAGTGTCTTATTATAAGTATTAGAGTAGGGTTTGTTTATATAGCGGCATAGAGCTATTTTATAATTTCCACTGTTTGTACAATTTTGCATAACGTAAAGAGGATATTAAATACACGCACATTGCTAAAACATATTAAAAGGATCAATGTCAAATATAGTTTTCGTTAATATTCCTAGAAAAAGTGGATACATTTTAATAACATAATAACTGTAGGTTAGAAAAATCTAATTAAACTGTTTAGTAATTTTGCCAAGGGAGGTATTTTAAAAATAAATTGAACTCACGCTAAAAATGTGAATGCAAAATCTGCAAGACGGAATAATTGTTGGAATAATATAATTAGCAAAATGTGAATGCAAATTCTGTAAGACGTGTAAGAGTACATTATTGTAGGAATATTATAATTAGCATTGATTGATAAAAGGCTATTTTTTATTTATTATGTTCACTGAATGTAATGTTTGCTACTTATAATTTTTAATCAACTATTCTCCATTATTATATTAAGTCATCACGTTCATTAGGTGCGCAATGGTTTTAGTCATGAAAATTGTAAATTATTGTAAATTTTTAAAAGTACTGAAAAAAATGCATGAATTTATAAAGTGCAATATGGTCGGTAAAACACGGATATTCTAAATACTGCCTTTAATTTATTTGCGGAAAAGCTAGGGGTTTTATAACAGAGGCGTAGCAAGAGGGGGGGGGGAGGGTGGAAATCGAAAGTTTGAGGGAGGTGGGAGGGTGTAAATCGAAATTTTCCGCCGGCGCTCGGAAAGGGCGCGATTTGGCGCTACGGGATAGACTGTGAGCAATATGCCTTTATGATTACATTTAAATTGAGTTTATGTTGAGTGTTGTGTTTGTTTTTTCGTTTTTGTTTTTTCTTTGCGTTTGTTTGTGTTGTATTTAGTTTTGTTCTGTTCCCAACTTGGTACATTTAAAAAAGATTTACCGTGTGTTGTGGTTGTGGTTGTGGTTGTGTTGTGGTTGTGGTTGTGGTTGTGTTGTGGTTGTTTTGTGGTTGTGTTGTGGTTGTGGTTGTGTTGTGGTTGTGTTGTGATTGTGTTGTGGTTGTAATGTGGTTGTGTTGTGGTTGTGGTTGTGTTTTGTTTGTGTTGTGTTTTTGTTTGTTTTGTTCTGTTCCAAAGTTGGTATATTTTAAAATGATTTACCGTGGCGGAGCACGGGATGCAGCTAGTCTATAATATAAGCGGGCTGAGCGTGTGTCAGTCCTTCCTTCCTTCCTTCTGTCATCGCTATAGATTTTGGAACCATAAAAGTAAACATCGCACCATGCTGTGCTTTTCAGTGCACCGCAGTGTCTTATTAGAAGTAATAGAGTAGGGTTTGTTTATATAACGACATAGAGCTATTTTATAATTGCCACTGTGTTTACTCTTTTGCATAACTTAAAGAAAATATTAAATGCACGCACATAGCTAAAACATATTAAAAGGATCAATGTCAAATATAGTTTTCGTTTATATTCCTAGAAAAAGTGGATACATTTCTATAACATAATAACAGTGCGGTAGAAAAATCAAATTAATTTAACTCTTTTTTCTAATTTTGACAAAGGAGGTAATTTAAAAATACATTAAACTCACGCTAATAAAAAATGTGAATGCAAATAAACGATCGTCATACAAGGAATTAGTGTTGCAATAATATAATTAGCAAAATGTGAATGCAAATTATTCGGATGTGTTAGAGGAAATTATTGTTAGAAAATTATAATTAGCATGGATTGATAAAAGGCAATCTTTTATTTATTTTATTCACTGAATGTAGGCCCTACTGTTTATTACTTATAATTTTTAATCAACTATTCAGCACTATTATAGACGCGTCATCACGTTCATTAGGTGCGCAATGGTTTTAGTTATGAAACTCTATTGTACATTTTTAAAATTTAAAGTACTGGAAAAAAAATGCGTGAATGGATAAAGTGAAATATTGTATATATTATAGATACTGCCTAATATTTATACTGTTTTCTAATTATTATTCTATCTTTCGGGATTTATAGGAGAGGCGTAGCGAGAGGGGGGGGGGGCATATGTCCCCGGGTGCCGACCTCAGGGGGCGCCAAAGTGGGTTGGAAAAAATTTGCGAGGGGGGTGGTGGAAATCGAAAGTTTTAGGGCGGGGGGGGGGGGGGAAGGGGTGCAAATCGAAAGTTTGAGGGGGGTGCAAATCACCGGAAAGGGCGCGATTTGGCGCTACGGGCTAGACTGTGAGCAATATGCCTTTATGATTGCATTTAAATTGTGTTTATGTTATGAGTGTTGTGTTTGTTTTTTCGTTTTATTTATTTATTTTTTTTTTTTTTTTTTTTTTTTTTTTTTTTTTTTTTTTTTTGCGTTTGTTTGTTTTGTGTTTAGTTTTGTTCTGTTCCCAAGTTGGTACATTTAAAAAAGATTTACCGTGGCGGAGCACGGGATGCAGCTAGTTAATTATAACCAGGAAGGAAATTAAAAAAAAATTCAACTCACTCTAAATATTGAAATTAAAACTAAAAAAAAAGTGAATGTAAATTGCACGAACGTCCATGAACGCAATCAAACGTATAATTGTTGGAATACACGGCTGTTTGTTTAATAAAGCTATTTTATAAAGCGTTTGTTTTTGCGTTTTCTTTGTGTTTGCGTGTTGCGTGTTGCGTTAGCGTTTGAGTTTGTATTTGTGTGTGTGTTTGTGTTTGTGTTTGCGTTTGATTTTGTGTTGCATTACATGTTTTAATTTTTTTTTGTGTTTAAGTTTGGGTGTTGCGTTTGTGTTAGCTTTTTAGTTTCTGTTTTTTTTTAATTTGCGTTTGAGTTTTGTTTGTGATTGTGTTTAAATTGGTGTTTTCATTGGGTTTATGTTTGCGTTGAGTGTGATTTTATGTTTGCGTTTGTATCTCTATTTGTGTTTGTGTTTGGTTTTGTTCTGTATCTAAGTTTGTACATTTAAAGAAAACGTGGCGAAGCACGGGTATGCAGCTAAAAATTACACATTTATTTTTGATACTAGCCGTCCCGGCCAGGCCCTGCTCTGGCTTCTGTGAAAAACCTTTCTGTTAAAGACCATTATCTGTGTGTTTAGTAATCATCATACACCCGGCATTGCCCACCCAAAACCACAACCAACCAAAACCAAAACAACAAAACGCAAACATAACGCTAACACAATTACAAATACAAACGAAAATAAAAACCTAACAACAAACTCAACCACAACCGCAAACACCAATAGGAACACAAAGAAAAAAAACGAAAAAGCAAACGAAAACAAACCAAATCCAAACGCAAAACCAACTACAAACACAAAACAAACCCAAAGAAAAAAACACAAACGAAAAAGCAAATGAAAACAAACCAAATCCAAACGCAAAACCAACCACAGCCACAAATACAAACACAAACCCAAAGAAAAAAACGCAAACGAAAACGAAAAAAGAAACAACAAAAACGAAACAAATCAAAACGCAACCACTAACGCAAACCCAACCTAAACACAAACGCAAAGTTCTCAGTCTAGCTCACAGAGGGCGGATTCGATTCACTTAAAGACTATAGTGACCTTTCTTATCCATACTCTATCGCACTGTTTAAAGCGAAATTATGCAAAGGATAGCCCAGGGCGCCAAATTGAACCCTGGTGGGGCGCCGGCGGACGCGCCTGTTTCAATTTAATGAACAATTATTATACTCCAAGCTTATCGGTAAACGGAAAGAAATAAACATATAGGACATGTAGGACCTGGCTTATTGATTTAAAAAAACAAAATTAGTAAACAATAAGCTCAGTGTATAGAATAAATAAAAGGCAGTGTTAAAAATACCAACGACATTGCACTTAATCAATCCCCGCTAATTATGTAATTATTTTTTTTTCTTAACACCAAAACAAAGTAATTAAAAGTAAATTCTTTCTTCCCCCGATTTAATGGTTTATTGAAGGGAAGTAACTCTGTAGTCAATACATTTCAGACACAATTTTAGAAATCTTATACACGTTGATACACTTTTTAAAAATTTTATGTAATGTTTATTATTGAAAATTATTATTCAGCGTACATAAAATGAAAATTGTTTTTACAAGCTTTTATTTAACTCACTTCCTCTGTCTGTCGACAGTCTGTCGTCAGTCTAGACGGAAACGCAGGAGTGAAAATTCGGACAGTTCTACTTGACCGATACGATTCACAGTTGGCACGTGGGTCAAGACATGAAGACAATGCAATCTGAAACTAAATTTGACTTAATTGGATGCCTAATTGATTTTTTATGAATTAATAAAAATTTGGACCGAATTAGTAGGCATGTCTAGCCAACCACACCACACGTGTCATCACCTTCAATAGCTGCGCCATCACGTAATGGCTGCGTTCAAAAACCATTGCGCGCCTACTGAACGTGATGTTAAGTAGGCGCGCAATGGTTTTTAGTCATGTAACTCTATTGTAAACAAAACATGTAAAGTACTGAAAAAAAAAAATCATAAAAAACGTTTTAACAACAAGCTTTTATGTAATGATGCACTAAAAAGTAGAAAATAAATTATAGACTACTATTTAAATAACTATAAAGAAAAGCGTGGGTGTCTTCCTTAACATTAGTAAAGGTATCCAATAGATACTAAAGTGACCCACGCTAGACCTAGACCTAGACCTAGACCTAGACCTAGACCTAGACCTAGACCTAGACCTAGACCTAGACCTAGACCTAGACCTAGACCTAGACCTAGACCTAGACCTAGACCTAGACCTAGACCTAGACCTAGACCTAGACCTAGACCTAGACCTAGACCTAGACCTAGACCTAGACCTAGACCTAGACCTAGACCTAGACCTAGACCTAGACCTAGACCTAGACCTAGACCTAGACCTAGACCTAGACCTAGACCTAGACCTAGACCTAGACCTAGACCTAGACCTAGACCTAGACCTAGACCTAGACCTAGACCTAGACCTAGACCTAGACCTAGACCTAGACCTAGACCTAGACCTAGACCTAGACCTAGACCTAGACCTAGACCTAGACCTAGACCTAGACCTAGACCTAGACCTAGACCTAGACCTAGACCTAGACCTAGACCTAGACCTAGACCTAGACCTAGACCTAGACCTAGACCTAGACCTAGACCTAGACCTAGACCTAGACCTAGACCTAGACCTAGCCTAGACCTAGACCTAGACCTAGACCTAGACCTAGACCTACACCTAGACCTAGACCTAGACCTACACCTAGACCTAGACCTAGACCTACACCTACACCTACACCTACACCTAGACCTACTCCTAGACTTAGACCTAGACCTACACCTACACCTGCACCTGCACCTGCACCTGCACCTACACCTACGCCTATACTTATACCTCTGCATGTACTTGTATGTATTCCTAACAACTTTAAGCTATCCCTACAATTATCTCTCCCTATTTCCCTTTCTTTTTAAATGTTGTATGGGTTATTTATTTTGGTGTAATGTTATATTGTAGTGTTTTTTTTTTGTTTTTTGTGGTATTATTAACAGAATGCATATTAAACTTGGTAGATAATGAAATGGTGGGGTAGCGAGAATCGACCTGGAGAAATTCTTAGGTTGTTAATGTCTATCTCTTCCTGACTTTAACACACAGATAGGTAAATACAGACAGGCGTTTTGATTTGTTAACGAGTATTGACCAGCCGCCATATACCACAACTTTTCTCTTTTATATACAGCGATTTTATAGAAAATTACTTTGCAAATCAATCTTTCTGTTATCAATAGTCTTGCTCTGTTTTAGATTTTTAGACATTTTAACATGTTACCATTGGTACCCTGTCAAAACGCCCGGGAAAAATCGGCCCCGTCAAAACGGCCCCGTTAATATGACCCCGTCAAATCGACCCCCGACAAAACGACCCAGTCAAAATAGCCCCGTCAAAAGGGCCCCGACTTATTGGCTCCCGTCAAATAGGCTCCCGTTATTGACTCGCGACATATAGGCTCCCGACAAATGAGCTCCCGACATTTAGGCTCCCGACAAATGGACTCTCGACATATTAGCTCCCGACAAATAGGCTCAGGACATACTGGCTCCCGACAAAGTGGCTCCCGACATATTGGCTCCCGACATAAGGGCTCACAACAAATGGGCTCCCGACAAATGGGGCTCATGACATATTGGCTACCGACAAATGGGCTCCCGACATATTGGCTCCCGACAAATGGGCTCCCGACATATTGGCTACCGACAAAATGACTCCAGACATATTGGCTCCAGACAAATGAATGGCATGAACACTATTGGCATAAAAGTAACCATTTTGTCCTACTTCCACTACTACTATAACCTCTTTTTAATGCCTGAATAAAATTGTTTTTCATGAACCAACATTATTTCACAAATAAATCAAGCCCTTAACAGCTAAAATCTACCACTTCTGAAATTTTGATAATGTTTAATTTACAACAGTAAAGATCTGTTGCATAAAGGCGAGCACAGAAGTGAAAATGTATGATATACATGATGTTTACATGATAATGGCATTTTATTTGATAACCTACACGCATACTGGAGGTAGGAAGGTACAGTGTGGACCCTTCTCCCCACATACTGAGTTGGAACAGCCTATAACCGACTCATTTATGGAAGTCCTAGATAGATGACCCTTAAATTAAAACATACTATATTTTATAATAGATACACTAATATAAAAATAAGGCCTGCCGAACAAGAGATGCATACGTTGATTTACTTAAGAGTGCTGGATAAGCTAACTCTAAAGAATATTGATGAAGGAGTCCCACTGGCTGGTGTCATATTCATTGAGACCGCTTTGCCGGGAGATTTAGTCTCTACAGAAACGGTATTGTCAGTGGTCCTTTTGTCTGGAGCCTAATTAACAGGAGCCTTTTTGTCGTGAGCCAAAATGACGCTAGCCTATTTGTCGGGAGTCGTAATGACGGGGGTCGTTTTTTTGGAAAAAAGTAAATGACGGGAGCCTATATGTCGGGAGACAAAATGACCGGAGCCTATTTGTCAGGAGCCTTATTGACTGGAGCCCTTTTTTCGGGAGCCTATATAACGGCAGCCTATTTGTCGGGAGCCTAAATGACGGGAGCCTATTTATCAGGAGCCTTTATGACGGGGTCCATATGTCGTTTGCCATTTTGACGGGGTCAATTTGACGGGGCTCTTATGTCCCGGCCGATTTATCGGGGTCGTTTTGACAGGGCCGTTTTGTCATTTGCCGTTTTGACGCCGCACGGTTACCATTACATTAGTGTAATAGATAAGTTGTTCATTTATTTTAGACAGGTTTTTTTGGTAACCATTAATAGAATAATAATATGAAATATATCTTACCTGAGAGCTTTCTTTTGAATCATATACCAGTTCATTGACGTGATGTTCGCAATTATCTTTAAATAAATTGTAAGGTGCGCGACCTATTTTCTTCTTTGCCAGTTTAAGTATTTCCTTTTGATCTTTTTTTTTCTTATTTTCGCTGCGTAAAACAAAAGTTAAATTTATGGTCAAATCATTTTTAATAAGCTTGTATTCAGATAGTTCAGGGGTCGGCCACCTGCGGCTCGAGAGCCGCATGCGGCTCATTTGATGCCAAGGTACGGCTCTTCAGCTCCGTGGACAAATATTAATGATTATGTTTTTTTTTTTCAGAAACCTCTTTATTTTCAGTGTTCTAATCAACTCCCCAAAGTTTCATGGCGATCGGAAGAACGGTGTTAATCCGCAATCGACTTTTAGTTTTATTAACCTAAACGATCCTTTCCGGGGCGCCACCATTGCAAATTTGACTTTTGTTTGCAGATACCTTCCCTGGTATATATATATATATATATATATATATATATATATATATATATATATATATATATATATATATATATATATATATATATATATATATATACACCTAATCCTAATCAACGATCATTATATTGAAATTCAAATGTTAGTGGCTCTTTAAACAGTTGGAAATGTTGTAAATTGTAACTTTTGGCTCTTGTGTCTCAAAAGGTTGCCGACCCCTGAGTTAGTAAGTAGCCCATTTTCATCATCATCTCTGATCCATTTTTATTGTCGCTATTTCGTACACAACGAAAAACACATTTTTTAAATATTTCTAAATAAAACAATAAAAGGAAGACAACACTCAATCAGACTGGTTACAATGGTTAACTGTTGGACACAGATGGTTAGTTATACACTTGAGAGCGACAACTTGAAAGGACGTCAGAGGTGTGACGTCTTTTTGAATGTGGGTTCTGGTAATTTTGTGATGATAAGTGACAGACGTGATGTCATTTATGGATGACCACCTAAACCCACAGTTATCTTATCATAACGGGTAGGCTAGTAGTAATTAACTTTTAAATTCTGCGAAAATAAAACTAATTTTCTTTAGTAAAAACACTGGTCGCTCATGAAATCATTTGTCAATGCTTATATTAAAGAAAAATATGTTTTATTTGTTTTTATTTGCATAAACATAAACAAAAACATGAACATGAACATAACACCAACGTCAACAGCAACAGCAACATCAACATTAACATCAACATCAACATCAACATCAAGATGAGCATGAACACAGACATAAACGGGACACGGCCATGAGCATGAGCATAATCATGAACGCGAGCATAAACTTTAAAACCTACACTTATACCTAGATCAAAATCATCGGATTCTGAGCCGGAGAATTAAACAGAAACGGATATTTAAAAGTGAACATCTATCGTGGACCATAAATTCAACTGGATAAGTAAATTTAAAACACTCATTCCTCTGCCTTAAAGCATGGCTATTGCTTGAAATTACAACTGCTATCCCGAATGTCTCCAGTTCGGTTCTTGGCCTCAACGATATAAGATGTTCCTTTGTCCACTTAGCTCTGATAGGTAATTGTTTCATGTTGGGTAAATTTCTGACAACAATTATGCCCCTGTTTGCCGAGGTCGTTAAAAAAGATAACCACAAACACATCTGTCCCATTTTTATTGAGCAACAATGGGTAAAAATAATGAATAACCCTAATGCCAATGCTAAACGTAACCCAAATCGTAATTCTAACCTCAATCCTAACGCTAATCCAATCGCTATTTAATTATTATTTCTTTTGCGTAAATATATTAGTCATTAGGCAGTTATTGTCTGTCTCCATCATCAATGACATCATTCTGTTTTTTGGCTATCGATTTTTTAAAAATCAATAACCACATTTTTGTTTGTGTGTAGACGCCAATTAAAGACACTACCAAAATATTTTATCTGGTAACCTAGATCTACTCGTAGTTAACTGCACGAATACTCTATAAATCGTTGATTTTTCATTTAAACCGTGTAATAAGACTCATTCTAGACAAAGGCCGCTTTTGTTGATGAGGCAGACTAAGCTAGACTTTATCTATAACCAAGATCTGTTAGCTACATTTGTACGCTAACCGAATCCGCGACTCCATATGGATCTATTCTAATCTAACCGGAACCGGAAATGTAACAGAAAATAGGAATTTAACTGGAATCAGAACTTAAAACAAAAAAGAAATTTAAACAGAACATGAAGTTTAACTGGAACAGGAACTTGAACCTTATTTTGCACGGAAACAAAACCGATCTAGAAGCGGAATACAAACGTGAATCAGAACCAGAACTCTAATCGGAGGTGGAACATTAAACGTTACCGCAAATTTACTCGGAAGAGGAATTTTATTTGGTAAGGAACCTAAATTGGAGTCAAAAACAGAAACGAAAATTAACCAGAACCAGAAACTTAATCAAAACCGACACTTTAATATGACAAATAAGAATAACCAATAACAAATAAACCGGGAGTGATCTCCCCTAAACTTTCTCCAAAACTTTCTCCATTTTAAATACTTAACCTTTTATAAATAGAAAATAATCTTGTAGAAAAATGAATTGCACACCAAGTAAACGCAAAATAAAGATGTACATAATAGTGCGCAATATTATTAGTACTTTTATAAATTTACATGCGTTTTTTGAGAAATCGGAAATAGCGTAAGTTAGTACTTCCGATCAACGTAAATTACTTAAAATTTGACACATAGTAGAAAATTAGAACATTTACTTACATGTGAAATTTCATTTATCTATCTGAAATAGTACTCGAGTTACAGGCTTTTGAAAAATTCAAAGTAGAAAAGGTACCACCTCCGGTTATCGGAAATCGCTCAAAAATTGATACGGATCTACGATTTTGATAAAATACTTGCATATGAAATTTCATCAACCTAGCTCTAACGGTACTAACGTTATCGTGTTTACACACACACACACAAACACAGACAGACACACAGACATACGGATAAGATTGCAAAATTATGTTTTTCCGTATCAGATTACAAGACTTTCTCTATACTTCGTATATACGACAAAGTAAATAATTATCATTAAAATTAAAACAAAAACCACGTTTTCTGATTGATCTAAAAAGTAGAAAATAAATGCTATACATCACAATAATGCAAGCGATCACTCGACTATAAGCGATCGCAAACTGCGTGATTTTCTTACAGTTTCTAATACTGTTTACTCTCTACAAGCTTCGGCGCCCCACGTTTTTCATTTTTGCCATAATGCGATCGCTTATAGTATAGTGATCGCTTGCATTATCGTGATGTATAGCATTTATTTTCTACTTTTTAGTTCAGTCAGAAAACGTGGGGTTTTTTTTTGTTTTTTTTTTAACGATAACTATTTTCTACTTTTTATTCTTTGTCTGTTTGTTTGCATTCAAATCTTGCTATCGATTTTATCTTCTCGCATTCACTTTTTTTTTTGGGTAAACGAAGACAACTCGTAAAAAACACGTGCCTTTTCCAATCGACGTTTCTTCTGTGTTGCCGTTGCTTTCACCATTTTGCCCTCGCGTGCAAACCATTCGACGATCAACATTCTACTTCCTGATCAGTCAGATTTGCATAGGTTTGTACACAAACACCGCGTGACCACTACTCAGCCAATCGCGTGCTTGCTTCTTCAGTAAGCCAGAAGAGGGAAAGTACCGAACCTTGTTTTATCAAATTACAATTACTAGGTTATGTCCCTTTTTTGTACAAATCGATAGGGGTCTAAAATGATCAATAAATTTTTTCCATGGATCAATTTAGTAATAATAATAATAAACAAAGCTTCCCTGAAAATTTCACCGCGCTAGCTAACTGGGAAGTGCCCGAAATTTCGATCGCAAGATTTGATTGGAAAACAAACAGACGCGAAAGCAAGTTAAAGAAAACGTGGGAAAAATAGCCAGGGCTGGAACCTGAACAATTGAATGAAAAAGAACGTAATTGGATCACAAATTGTGACGTGAATCAAAACCGGAACAATTATCAAGTGGTAGGATGGGTTGGTGGGTGGATGGACTGATGGATGGATAGATAGATGGATGGATGGATGGATAGATTGATGTATGGATGTATGGATGTATGGATGTATGGATGTATGGATGTATGGATGTATGGATGTATGGATGTATGGATGTATGGATGTATGGATGTATGGATGTATGGATGTATGGATGTATGGATGTATGGATGTATGGATGTATGGATGTATGGATGTATGGATGTATGGATGTATGGATGTATGGATGTATGGATGTATGGATGTATGGATGTATGGATGTATGGATGTATGGATGTATGGATGTATGGATGTATGGATGTATGGATGTATGGATGTATGGATGTATGGATGGATGGATGGATGGATGGATGGATGGATGGATGGATGGATGGATGGATGGATGGATGGATGGATGGATGGATGGATGGATGGATGGATGGATGGATGGATGGATGGATGGATGGATGGATGGATGGATGGATGGATGGATGGATGGATGGATGGATGGATGGATGGATGGATGGATGGATGGATGGATGGATGGATGGATGGATGGATGGATGGATGGATGGATGGATGGATGGATGGATGGATGGATGGATGGATGGATGGATGGATGGATGGATGGATGGATGGATGGATGGATGGATGGATGGATGGATGGATGGATGGATGGATGGATGGATGGATGGATGGATGGATGGATGGATAGTCAGTATAATAAAATTATACAAATATATTTACTCTAGCGGAACTTTTACACCTTTGTCACCCAGTGCTGCTACACTAAATTTATCTTCTCTGATCTCAGAAGCAACTTGTCCTATGATTCCGCATTCACGTATCATATTGCTGCTTGAGAAATGTGTTGGGCCAACTAGGTGGTTAACCTGTCCGTTACCTATCAGAGCAGTAGAAGGCAAGATATACAGGCAAAATATTAACAAGAAAAATGTTCATTATAAACATTTTAATATTAAGCTTTAATACACTAAAAAAGAGAAAAATAATGGTTTTCTTTTAATATATAATAACGAGTGACTATTTATGTTATTTTAAATAACAAGCATGTAGATTTTGGTAGTATATAGATAGATTTCTAGCTACATCTTTACGGTGGTCTATATTCAATAGCTTTTAAATAGTTCTGTAAAAGATCCATTGTTATTTTCCAGACTTAAAGCAACATACGCGTGAATACAAATTTCGAAATTTCACAAGCTTTTACTTAGCTTGTTTTCTGTGTTTTTAGTCGTCAAATTTATTCAAATTTATTAAAAAAAACTGTTACAATTGTAGGCACAAAGGCCTTTTTTCACATTGGCCGTTTAAACAAATAAAACAATTCAATAACGCATAGCAGTAACATAGTACTAAAAATGTGGAATAAAGAACCAATGTTACATAGTTATCATTAATAATGAGAAAAAAAGAGAATATAATAGATGAATGAGAAATGTTACAATGAGTCAGTTAGGTCATTAAATAATTTTAGTTTTAGTTTAGATTTGAAAATATTTTCAGATTTAGATAGCTTTATTTTATTAGGAAGATTGTTCCACAAATTAGAACCAGAGTAGGCGAAGCTATGTTTTTGGAAAAAAGTTGAATATGGGAATGGTAAATTAAGACGACGATTTCATTTTATGTTAAAAGAAAATAGATCTGATAAGTAAGAGGGGGCTGTTTTGTGGAATATTTTATATAAGAAAATTGATTCAGTATATATTATCTTTTTATTTAATGGAAGTATTTTAGTTGTAAGAAAAGAATCCAGACTACTAGACAAGCCAGTAACCAGTTTTATAGCCCTTTTTTGTAAAGATAGAAGAGGACGTTGCTTAGTTATAAAGCTGCCGCTCCACACTACAGAAGCATAATCCAACCTAGACTGAATAAAAGCTTCATAAAAAACTAGCCTGCTCCTATAGTCGAGAAAGTTCTTTATCCTTGCTAATTGAAAGGTTGTCTTTAATAAGGACATTCTTAGAAAATGAATATGATCGGACCAAGTGAGGTTGTGATCTATAAACAATCCTAGGCATTTGTAACTATCTACCTGTTCAATGTTTGAATTGTCTATAGTAATGTTTAATGCGGTGGATGGAAGACGAAGGCGTTTCTGATGAGTTGTAATAAACATTGACTTGGTTTTATCGGGGTGAAGTATCATTTTGTTAAATTTTGTCCAAGTAGCAAGCTGATTGGCACACGTTTGAAGTTTGTAACTGAGTGACTCAGCACTGTCTGCAAAGACATGCAAAGAAGTATCATCAGCGAACATCTCGCACTGACCAGCGTCAATGTGTAATGGAAGATCATTAATATATAAAGAAAAAAGTAAAGGACCTAAGATTGAGCCCTGTGGAACCCCTATATTGACATATTTCTGTGAAGAGATGGTATTAAGGTGAAACACGCGTTGAGATCGGTTAGATAAAAAGGAGTGAAGTAACCTAACTGTAAAGTCGTGGAATTTGTATGGAATTAGTTTTTTAAGAAGGATGGTGTGATCAATAGAATCAAAGGCTTTTCTGAAGTCGACGAACAGCGAGCCACAGAGTAGGTTATTGTTAATATTTTTAAGCCAGTTTTCATTCATCTTAATCAGAGCAGTGTGACAAGAATGAAACTTTCTAAACCCAGTCTGATTACTATGGAAAAGCTTGAGCTTTTCTAGGTAGTTTGACATGCATTTGTTTATATGTATTTCTAGTGGCTTGGAGAGGGAAGAAAGTATAGAAATCGGCCTGTAGTTATTAGCATCTTGGATGTTACCTTTTTTGTGTAGCGGTATAACCTTAGCATGCTTAAAATGTGTCGGGTAATAATGCTTGGCAATACAGAGGTTATAGACATAGGTTAAAACTTCGGAAATTATTGGAGCTGAAATCTTCAAAACATTATTAGAGATATCATCAAACGAAGTTGTTGAAGACGGTTTAAGAGATCTTAGGCTAACATATACTTCATGAACAGTAAGAAGCGGAATTATCAGCTCTGTCCTACCACGGTGAGCAGAATTACAAAACGTTTTAAGCTCCTCACTGATTGTGTAATCAGCATCTGTGTTAACTGCTACAGATGATATAAAATGATTGTTAAAGTCATCAGCAGATATCTGGCAATGTCCAACTGTATTACATGTGCGTTTTTTCTAATTATTTGATTTATGGCAGTCCAAATAGATTTGGAATTAGGTTTGCCTGACAGCAGCTTATTAAAATACTCCTTCTTCGACCTACGCACGAGCAGTTTGACATAATTTCGTTGCCTACAAAAGTCCTCAGAAGTTCCATAAAGTTTAAGCCAGTCTCTTTTATTAATTGCAGATTCGATACTGTTGTTAAACCAAGAAGGTTTGTATGTAGTCTTAACCCTTTTAGAGATTTTAGGAATATGTTTGTCATATATAGTATAGAAAATACGCAGCCATTCAGAAATGGCTAGATCGGGACAATTATAATTGTATACATTGCAGAAGGGGGCAGCCAATAAATCCGAAAGAAAAAGATTTTCATTAAATTTTCTAAAAGAGCGATAATTTATAGTTATGTGTTGCCGCGAAGGTACACATAATCTTTTCGTCGAAAAAGTACAACAAACAGGGAAGTGGTCACTAACACCACAAGAGGGGACACAGACCTCTATTAGGTTGCAGTCAGGTGATGCGTAGATGTGGTAGATTATTGTACTTGATTTATCATTTACCCTGGTAGCCGTGTGCACAAATTGTTTTAGATTCAGAGAATCAACAATATCTTGCCGATATCCTTGAGGTTTTAATAAATTTATATTGAAATCTCCCAATATGATATATTCATTGTTAGTAGATAAAACGGTATCCATCATGGAGCAAAAACGATCATACCAATCCATGTTCTCGTAGGGATTTCTATAAAGGAAGCAAATTAAAATTGCCGGATGGTATTTGCTTTTTTCCAGTTCAATCCATATACATTCTATATTGTCCGTTGACAGATACTTCCTGAACTTGAAACGAATTGAGGAGTGGACATAGACACAAAGGCCAGTTTCTTTGTGTAAGGATGGGTCTCGGCGTATTAGGTTATAATCAGAGACGGATATCTCAACATCATTTATAAAAGATTGTAATCGAGTTTCAGAGAAACCAAAGATATGGAAAGGATTTTGGAATTAACATTTTTAGAACTTCATGGTGTTTATTTAATATGTGGAAAATATTTAAATGGCCCAATTTTAGCCCACTTTGTGAGGGCCATGATGATGAAAATAGACAATGCATAAAGATAATAAAATATCAATGAATAAGAGATGTTATAAACAAAAATCAATATAATGAACTAATTAAACAGAATCAATATAATTGTCTTACAATTACACGCTTTGTCATCCAATAAACAAACACTCGCTGCTCTTCACACTGCCTTATTATCTTTCTCTCTTTCTCTCTCTCTCTCTCTCTCTCTCTCTCTCTCTCTCTCTCTCAAAATAAATACATATATATAAATATATATATATATATAAATGTATATATATATATATATATATATATATATATATATATATATATACAAATATTGCTATATAAATGTATAATAGTATTAGTATGTATTATAATTAAAATAGTACCGTGAGCTCAACTAGTAAATAGTAAGTGAAAAAGTTAGGTTCCAGGAAGGCGCTTAAGCGACAACATTAGTGCTTGATGAAGCAACAAAGGGCTAAAGCCCATTAAGTGATGTAAGCCTGGGCTAGAGTCCAATGATCTGAAGATATTGTTGGAAGCATATCAACAGTCGAAACCAAATCAGCCTTTGTACCTTTTACGTTTGAAAGTTGCACATGATCATTATCTGTTAAGCTGACGGCTCTCTGGGGATACTTTATATTTTTAGCGAGAATACTGCTTCCTATTTTAGTTAAATGAATACTGTCACTGTACAAGCGTTGTCTCGGGGCACCTGACTTCGCAGTGAAAAAAGGTGTATTGTTTATAAAACAGTATTTATAACTAATGCAGAAAGACAGTAAAAAATCTATTATTTAATTCTTGCAAGTGCCTACCCTTGCCCTGACATGGGGGTACGATGGATGAGAATCGGATTGTTGCGTTGGGAAATTTGTGAGTGATACTTCTCACAATTTCTAGCATAATAGCTTGTGACAGTCTGACGTTTGATAGACTGTCGTTGACACCACAATGTAAGGTTACAGTTGTGGTGCTAGAGTCACGTGATCGGCTACTAATAACGTCCCTAATTTTTTAAAAATTTGCCCCAGGCAGCGCTATTACCGATACACGCTCGTAATATCCGTGGCCATTATATCAGGATGGAGACCTTTAAGTGTAGAGTCACCAAGGATCAGATGGTGTTTCGTTGATTGGTTGGTGTAGGGGGCGGCGACATGTTGTGTGCTATCTCTATTAGTGCCGTAGTGAGTAGAGCGTTTGACAACTGGAACATGGACAGTCTTGACCGTCGGGACGCTGTATTGTGTAGAATCACTTTTAGTGCGTGGTCGTTGCAGGGTGCTGGGACTCGAATGTTCCGATGGTTTGGATAAATGCGCTCTGTCATCACGTTGTGTAATTTTAACAGGGATTGGGAACGGAGCTTCTTGCAGGATGCTTGCCGATGTGATTTTTGTTTCATTTATTAGTTGTTGATTATCCTCACATGTTGAGGTGGATATTGTGCTGCAAGAGGGATTCTTGATTGTGAGGAGTTTCTTTAGTGACGCAGAAATATTTTCTTGATCAATCAAACGCTTTTTAAGGTGTATATCTTTGCAGCTATGCACTTCATTAGATAGTCTCTTGACAGCGTTTTCGACTCGGAGTTATTCTAGTTGGCTGTTAAACTGCAATTTCTCCGCTTTAAAAGCTTTTTTAACACAGGTGATCTCGTTAAGAATAAACGATCTTAAGTTATTATCCAGTTGTGTTGTTTGAAGAAATTATATTTTTGGACTAAGCAAATCAGTTGGTTGGGATAGGTTTGATGAAAATGTATAGTTATTTATAGGTGTTACACAATCTAACGGATTAGTTTTGATCGTAACCTCTGCACATTGATTGGCACTGTTGGAAGCGGACATAATCATGGGCGGTGAAATGGGTAGCTCCAATTTTCTGGGTGGGGACAGTGACATAATCAAGGGCGGCGAAATGGGTAGCTCCAATACTCTGGGTGGGGACAGTGAAGGTGGTGGTGACAGTGATAGTGGCGGCGACATGGGTAGAGGCATGTCGACAGCTTTGTCTGTTGTAATGAGGTTATTTAGAATACAGCAAAATTCCGAATCCACCCAAACAGACACAACGTTAGATTTTCCCTGTACCATAATTTTGTTATTCGTGTGGTACAGATGGACAGACAGCCCTGGTAATTTATAAATATCTTCAACATTGGCGCCATCATCATCCCTTCTTTCCTCAACAACATCAGCATATTTTGTTTTGAAGATTCTTTTTACCTTTTCATAGCTGATTGAGTTTCTAAAAGCAATGACAACGCATTGTCCTCCATCTTTCTTTTGAAAATGAATATCACCCGCTGCACAAATGTTAGCAATCTTTTTTTATATCGCTTTTTCTTTATTTAAACGATACTTCTTAGCTCTGCTGCTCCTGGTGACAACGCCATTCCCTAACATTTTCACTCACCAGTAAAATTAAAATATCATGCTGACATCAGTAAAAATAGATAAAATAGAAAACGAATCATCAGTAGATCTACAACAACTAAGAATATAGATTTTGAACACTTCGACTGATTTGTTTCAAGCTAGGCACGTGGGTCAAGAGGTGACCCGTCAAAAGAGCGCATGACAAAAGAGCGCCGACATAAGAGCGCAGACAAAAAAAGCGCCGACATAAGAGCGCCGACAAAAGAGCGCAGACAAAAGAGCGCCGACATAAGAGCGCAGTCATTTAAAAAAAATACATGTTGTACGCTAAACGAATATGATATTGTTAACACTTGTTTTAATTAAACAATCGGCGATACGATAAAACGACGTGTTTATTTATATATATTATGATTAATATGTTATGAATACAGTTTGAAAATATTTCTAATCCAAGAACCATTGAGACGATCGAATCACAGAAAGGGAAGGTTATATTAATTGAAGGCTACAGAAATAGAAAGGACAAAGCAAATGCTGATTGAAGTACGACATGGAGATGCTGCAAGAAAGATGGCTGCCGAGCTAGATCTAGTCCTGCCGAAATTATGCCACTGGTAGATTATTGGGAGGATAGTTACATAGGGAGACAAAGGAGAAACCGTTGAGGTGACCCGCGCTCCGCTCTTGCTATTTAAAATGTCCATAATCAAGTCGCTGAAAATCTACGCCGTACAAACAACTAATTCGAGGCATGGCATCGCGCATTCCAACAAACGGTAGATTGCAATCATCCTTCCGTTTTTAAGTTGATCAACCAGTTTCTTCTGGAACAAGATCACATCCAATTCGAACTGGTAATACGTCATCTAGCGGGAGTTAATCAACCAGAACCTTCAAAGAACAAATATATTCAGCTGAACCGAGGATTGCAGGCGATTGCTTCAACCTATGCTTATGATTCAATGATGGACTACCTACGAGTTAAAGCTCACAATAAAAAGTTAACATCAAACGGAGCCTTCTGATCCGAGTTAATGTTCTTGTTCCTATTTATTAAATATGTTTTTCTATCTTTAGTTTGCGCTCTTATGTCGGCGCTCTTTTGTCGGGAAATTAGTGCGCTCTTATGTCGGTGCTCTTATGTCGGCGCTCTTTTGTCTGCGCTCTTATGTCGGCGCTCTTTTGTCGTGCGCTCTTTTGACATTAAAAATGCTATCTTACATAAAGTTCAACTTAATTGGATGCTAATTCGTTTTTTATGAACTAATTAAAATGTACTTAATAAAGAAGGTGCACCCTCTATTTATCGCACTTTTGAAGCGACTTTCATTGTTCAATTTGTGTGCAATAGGTTTCAACCATCCAAATCTATTGTATTAAAAAATGTTAAACACTGAAAAAAAAATGCATAAACACCTTTAAATAACAAGTTTCTATGTATGGATACACTTAAAAGGAGAAAATTTTTCTTTAAATATATAATACCTAAAGAAATAGCCCGTTGAGAAAGAAATACCACGGGTGCTAGGTCTATAAACCGACACCAAAACCAAAATCACCACCTGAACTTCAAATTTAACCGGAAACGAAAAATACTGGAAACAAATTTTTATTCAACATTGGCATTTTAACCGGATTTTACCTTGATCTACACGTAGTTACTGCACATTCATACCAAATATAGTCGTAGTCATACTCCTAAAATTTAAACCTAGGCTCAAACTTGACAAAAGTCATATTTAGAGTTTCTTTCAGGTAACTCTTTGGGGGTAGGGGCGGAGCCCCCCGAAGAACGTCTACCGCTCCCTATAACGAAATAGAGTTTAAATAGAAAAGTACCCCTCTGTCCCTCTAACCAAAGAGATTCCTGAAAGAAACTCTAAATGCAGATATATTTAAGATAATTTATTTTTGTGGCATTTGATTTATTTATTCTAAAATCCATGACGTCAGTCTTTTTCGTGTAACTTTGAAACAAACACTGGTCGCATTTATAGATCACCCATACTAAATGTAGACCCTACTTAAGTAATCTAGACCCTTTTCCTAATATCGGCCGCTAAGCCTTAATCATGAAGATTGTGTTTCTTTCAGACTTTTTTCTCCGAGGGTCGCTATGGGGGAGGGAGGGGGGCTGCCTTCTTACCAAAAGAGATGCCTGAAAGAAATCCTGCATGCAGACGACTTTTAAGATTAGACAAATAAATTAGGCGATAATTTTTCTTGATATATTTTGTTCTGCTAGCTTTATTCCCTGAAATCATTTGTCCATGAGACTATTAGTCCTGAAATCGATTTTCCGGACCATGTAGGCTATATATATATATATATATATATATATATATATATATATATATATATATATATATATATATATATATATATATATATATAATATATATATATATATATATATATATATATATATATATATATATATATATATATATATATATATATATATATATATATATATATATATATATGACAGGTTTAAAAAGAATATCAACTCGGGCATGTTTTACAATTTAGCACATGTCCTGCTTTAGTTACTGTTTACAGTATTTTTTTAAAAACCTAATATGCTCCAATTAGTTAAGACTTGTCGTTACTGATAAGCTATATAGAAAGAAAAATTACATCTTTATCAAAAATGTTACGGTGGCCTATGGTAGAAAACATTTAATTTTTACTCAAACTTCCTTTTAAAAAAAACAACTTATCAAAACTCTTAATCTATGTAACTAAAAATTTACTTAATAAACTCACCTATATACAAAACAAAATGCCAATGAATGGGCACACGCCTAAACTTCACAATATCCCCAGGCTCTAGACTGGCAATAAGTTTTTCATTATGTTCTTCTACACTTAAGCTGGAAATTTCTCTAGTACCCATTTCGATAGCTTACTATAGCAAGAAAAGTATGTAAATGATTATTGCGTTACTATAGTCGTCAAATAAAAAACAATTCATAACACTGACATCTACTCCTGTTACTTTTTATTGTAATAATGACGTCACAATATGATAAAAACGCAATGTGTTTAACAAAACAATAGTCACCTTTATTTAAAAAAAAATGATAACATGAATAGAAAGTCAAGAAATATAAAGAAGATTTATCATACTTGTGATAGCAATTGATTAAAAACTATATATCATATTGATCGTACTTACAAAAAGAGTACATCAACCGTCAGTGTTAGATATAAACTATGAATAAACATTTAACGTAAACGTAAACGTAAACGTAAACGTAAGCGTAAACGTAAACGTAAACGTAAACGTAAACTTAAACTTAAACTTAAACTTAAACGTAAAGGTAAACTTAAACTTAAACTTAAACTTAAACTTAAACTTAAACGTAAACGTAAACGTAAACAAAAACGTAAACGTGAACGTAAACGTGAACGTGAACGTAAACGTGAACGTGAACGTAAACGTAAACGTAAACGTAAACGTAAACGTAAACGTAAACGTAAACGTAAACGTAAATGTAAACGTAAACGTAAACGTGAACGTGAACGTAAACGTAAACGTAAACGTAAACGTAAGCGTAAACGTAAGCGTAAGCGTAAGCGTAAACGTAAACGTAAGCGTAAACGTGAGCGTAAACGTAAGCGTAAACGTAAGCGTAAGCGTAAGCGTAAGCGTAAACGTAAGCGTAAACGTAAACGTAAGCGTAAGCGTAAGCGTAAGCGTAAACGTAAACGTAAACGTAAACGTAAACGTAAACGTAAACGTAAACGTAAACGTAAACGTAAACGTAAACGTAAACGTAAACGTAAACGTAAACGTAAACGTAAACGTAAACGTAAACGTAAACGTAAACGTAAACGTAAACGTAAACGTAAACGTAACGTAAACGTAAACGTAAACGTAAACATAAACGTAAGCGTAAACGTAAACGTAAACGTAAACGTAAACGTAAACGTAAACGTAAACGTAAACGTGAACGTGAACGTGAACGTGAACGTAAACGTAAACGTAAACGTTAACGTGAACGTGAACGTAAACGTGAACGTGAACGTGAACGTGAACGTGAACGTAAACGTAAACGTAAACGTGAACGTAAACGTAAACGTGAACGTAAACGTAAACGTAAACGTAAGCGTAAACGTAAGCGTAAGCGTAAACGTAAGCGTAAGCGTAAACGTAAGCGTAAACGTAAGCGTAAACGTAAGCGTAAACGTAAGCGTAAACGTAAGCGTAAACGTAAACGTAAACGTAAACGTAAGCGTAAACGTAAACGTAAACGTAAACGTAAACGTAAACGTAAACGTAAACGTAAACGTAAACGTAAACGTAAACGTAAACTTAAACTTAAACTTAAACTTAAACTTAAACTTAAACTTAAACTTAAACTTAAACGTAAACGTAAACGCAAACGTAAACGTGAACGTAAACGTGAACGTAAACGTGAACGTGAACGTGAACGTGAACGTAAACGTAAACGCAAACGTAAACGTAAACGTAAACGTAAACGTAAACGTAAACGTAAACGTAAACGTAAACGTAAACGTAAACGTAAACGTAAACGTAAACGTAAACGTAAACGTAAACGTAAACGTAAACGTAAACGTAAACGTAAACGTAAACGTAAACGTATACGTAAACGTAAACGTAAACGTGAACGTGAACGTAAACGTGAACGTAAACGTGAACGTAAACGTGAACGTAAACGTGAACGTAAACGTAAACGTAAGCGTAAACGTAAGCGTAAACGTAAGCGTAAGCATAAGCGTAAGCGTAAGCGTAAGCGTAAGCGTAAGCGTAAACGTAAGCGTAAACGGAAGCGTAAACGTAAGCGTAAACGTAAGCGTAAACGTAAGCGTAAACGTAAGCGTAAGCGTAAACGTAAGCGTAAACGTAAACGTAAGCGTAAACGTAAGCGTAAACGTAAACGTAAACGTAAGCGTAAACGTAAGCGTAAACGTAAGCGTAAACGTAAGCGTAACCGTAAGTGTAAACGTTAGCGTAAACGTTAGCGTTAGCGTTAGCGTAAACGTAAACGTAAACGTAAACGTAAACGTAAACGTAAACGTAAACGTAAACGTAAACGTAAACGTAAACGTAAACGTAAACGTAAACGTAAACGTAAACGTAAACGTAAACGTAAACGTAAACGTAAACGTAAACGTAAACGTAAACGTAAACGTAAACGTAAACGTAAACGTAAACGTAAACGTAAACGTGTACATGCACATGCACATGCACATGCACATGCACATGCACATGCACGTGCACGTACACGTACACGTACACGTACACGTACACGTACACGTACACGTACACGTACACGTACACGTACACGTACACGTACACGTACACGTACACGTACACGTACACGTACACGTACACGTACACGTACACGTACACGTACACGTACACGTACACGTACACGTACACGTACACGTACACGTACATCAAACATCAAACATCAAACATCAAACATCAAACATCAAACATCAAACATCAAACATCAAACATCAAACATCAAACATCAAACATCAAACATCAAACATCAAACATCAAACATCAAACATCGAAAATCGAAAATCGAAAATCAAAAATCAAAAATCAAAAATAAAAAATCAACATCAACAGCAACTTTAACATCAACATCCTCAGCCTAATTCACATACGCAATTGACATCGACAATGTTATTGGCACTGTTGCTGGTATTGACATTGACAATTTACATTGACTTTGACATTAATAACGTTATCGACATCAACATAAATATTAAAAAGAAAACTAACACTTACAGTTACACTTACACTGAAGTCAAGTTAAAGTTCATTTAAAAATTTTCCTTTTTTATTTACATTCATGTTTATTTATCTACATTCACATAAACATACGCATTCATGTTTACTTTTAGCATTTGTATTAGCATTCAAATTCTTATTTGCATTCACATTTATAACGACATTAACATGACAACCAAGTTCACAAGCCCAACTACAAACATAATCGCATTCTCATTCACATTTACATTAATAGCATTGACATAAACGTGTGCAAGAAGTTTTTCATTATCACATGTGTACAATTTCGTTCAGCGAAGTGTCAGACTAGGATTTTTTATCTCTATCGATATAGGAACTGTTAGACAACAAAAAATAGTAAAAGTAGGCGTATTTTATCATACAGACTAAAGTTGTGTTGTGTAATATAGGGGCGTATTCGATATCTTTACGTTTTCTAATAAAACCATTTCAGTTTTTCGAAAACTTATTTAGAATTATCATATCACTTTGATAAACCTGAGTGATATCAAGACAATGTAAATCACATGTTAGTTATGGATAATACTAGATAATAAGTCACGCTGACAGTCGAACTCTATATCGCAATGTCATGTCAATATTTTATTATAGTTTGATACTAGAACTTGCGTTATCCTTGGATAACTGCGTTTTACCATATTATCCCAAGGTCTTAAATTTTTATAATTTTTTAATATGGTTTAACTTTTGGGCTCTAAATGAAGGAATGGCTACTTTTAAAATATCTATTTTTTTAAAAACGTCCCATAAATGGGACACTAGCATCGAATGACCCCATGTACATTTATTGCAAAAACAATAAATGTACCAACTTTGGAACAGAATAAAACAAAGCACAACACAAACGAACGCAAAAAAAACACAAACGAAAAAACAAACACAACACTCATAACATAAACACAATTTAAGTGCAATCATAAAGGCATATTGCTCACAGTCTAGCCCGTAGCGCCAAATCACGCCCTTTCCGAGCGCCGGCGGACGCGTCTGACACAGTGAAAGACTATAAAGCAGAGGCGTAGCGATACTTTCCGGCGCCCGGGACAAACTTTCGATTTGACCCCCCCCCCCCCTCAAACTTACGATTTGCACCCCCTCCCAAACATAATTACATGCATACAGAAATTTCAACTTTATATATTATATAAATATATATATATATATATATATATATATATATATATATAAATAAATATATATATATATATATATATATATATATATATATATAAATAAATATATATATATATATATATATATATATATATATATATATATATATATATATATATATATATATATATATATATATATATATATATATATATATATATATATATATATATATATATATATATATATATATATATATATATATATATATATATATATATATAGTATATAAAGTTGAAATTTCTGTATGCATGTAATTATGTTTGTCGTGGATTACAAAGGATTATAAGAACATACGAGACTTCCATACTTCCATGGATTCAAAATTTAGATAATTAAAGTGCTCATGGTCTAAATGCATGGTTTAAAAATTAATACTAAAAGGGTTATGAAATAATATTCATTTTTCAAGCTGACAATAATAATTATCGGAATGTTCATTAAACAATATGTTTAAAAAAAAATATGCGTTAAAAAATTACTTTTGAATGTGTTGGGAAATAATTTTCATTTTTCAAACTGATAATAATAATTGTCGGCATGTTCATTAAACACAATTTTTAAAAAAATATCTTTTACAAAAATTCTAATTATGTCTAAAAATTATTTATATTTAGTCCTATAGCATTAACTTCCCTTTGATAAATTAGGAAAACACAATTACTTCCCTTTAAATGCAATTTAAATACAATTAAAATACAATTTAAATACAATCTATATATATAATTCTCTTCTGGGAGCCGTTAGAAAACACGCTGCAAGCGCCTCCTTGCAGTCCCCTCTCTTTCTCTCTATCACTATCACTACCACCCCCAGCCCACCCCCACTGTGGTCACGCTGTTTACATTTTACAATCATAGAGACGGGTTTGGTGAGGAGGTAACTAAGAGGAGGCTGCTTTCACGTGGGGGGGGGGGGGGGGGTTTAGTGTTTTTAAGCAAATATTTTCAGTGGCAGTATTGGTACTCTCGAATTCACAAATTATAAATTAC